CCCCCCCCCCCCCTTGAAAATGAGGATATGGAAATCAGTGTTGGTGTAAGGAAATATTTATTTTGGGAAGTTCTGTGACACATAGTTTTTTCTGTGGCCACTTACTCTGTGTTCGACTATTCTGATTACCCTTAATCCTGCTTTGAGGATTGCTAAATACTGTTTAAATCCGAATTTCAGGGATAGCAGCTTTATTTAATTATTGCCATTTGTGGCTCTGCGTGTTGACTGACTTAAACACATCCATTGATGATACATGCATTAATATTTAAAGGAAAACTTTCCATGCTAAGAAATTTTGTTAAACCTTTGTCATTAGGTTGTGAGCCTCTTGTATTTGGTTTTTAAATAAAGGATTTTATATATCTTCTTTTTTTTTTTTTTCAGTCATTTCATGCAGGTTTTAGATTTTAGTATTCAGTGTCCATCCTTTTTCCTTTTAAGCATTTTAAGAAGCAGAAGAGGTTGATTCCTGAAAGAACAGTTTGGAAGTACTTTGTTCAGCTTTGCAGTGCCTTGGAACATATGCATTCTCGTCGTGTTATGCACAGAGGTAATACAGGATCAAAGATGATTTGTTTTTACTAAATCTTTTGCTATGTGAGAGTTAAGCTGGTTCAATGCAAATGACATGAAATAAAATCATAATGGAATCAGTTTTGACAGCTAAAACAATGTATGTTTCTGTAACATTTTATAAGCAGTGGAAAAGTGTGACAGAAGTTTGTGGCTGCATATTTGTTGCAGTAGGCATTTGTTTGCAACAGTGGCTGGTGATACCAAGTTTTCAAAACAAGTTTCTTTACTTGCTCAATTCATTTTGCTGGCTCTTATTTTCTATCCTGTTCTTACTCTTCTATATTTGCCTGTTGTCTCTCCTAAGCACTGTTACCTGCATTCTTGCACAGCTACCCGTCCATTCTTTTCACCTCTTGCAACGTACAAAAGTATTTGCCTCCTGCCATGCCTCTGGTGATGTATAGACCTTTCTCCCCCTCCCTTATTTACTGGATTATGTGCAGCTGTGAGCATTTTCTCCCTTTCTCTGCTCCTCTCCACTATTCCCAATTTCTGTGTCAGGTACTGGATCCCAACAGCTCTTGCAGTTGCCAGCTATCACTGTCAGGTACTAAATCTCTCTTACCCATTTTAAACTTCTCTACCACTGCCACCTCCATATGCTATCTTCAGTTTACCTTACGTGTCAAAGCAAACATTGTTGTATAGCTGTTTCTCAGATGTGCAATCTTTTTTGCCTTGGAAATCCCTCTGGCTATGAGTTGCAAGTTGTGTATGGGCTGTCACTTTGGGTTCCGGTGAAATTACATGTCTGGCGTTGGTGGCTTCCTTCTGCTGGGATGCAAATAGCTGTCTGAAAGCTAACCTCTCTCCATCTCTGCTGAGTTTTGTGATTTGCAGCTAGACATGTTGCACCTTATAACAGATCAACTTAGATGCCCCTGCAAATGGTTTTGCCTTTGTGATTATTTTTTTTCTTTTTTCCCTTTTATGAATTTGTATAGTTATCTACAATTGCAAATTGTACAAAGAGCAAGACATGAAATTACAGATTCTTTCCATAGGGTATAGGTATCTTCCTTCAATGCTGTTATGACTAAGCTAGTTTATTTTAGTATATTTAGCTCGAAACCAAAATGAATTTAAATTCCTTAAACTGAAAAAGCTTCTGGCAATTGTATGGCAAATCTAACAATTCCATGGTTACACACCAATGACAAAGCTATTTTTAAGTTGACCTTATATCTGTGTTGATTGTTCCACAAAGGGTGATCCAAACTAGTGAAAACTAGGTCAGGTATCAGCATAACATAACTGCTTCTGTCTTAGCTCTAAAGCTTAAAAGATTTTGTAACTTATTATTGAAAACCTGAAAATACTGGTGTTTGAAGGGTTATTAACCATTTGTTTTACTGTACCTATATCTTAGGCAAACTGTAATCCCCTCTTGTCAGTGTTAAGTGATTTTCTGTAAGTTTGGAGCCACAGTTGTTGCTCTAGAGCTAAGTAAGAGCTAAGCACACTTGCCAGACAAATATTGGGTCAGTTTATTTAGAAGACTTAATAGGTTAGGTACCTTGTTAAAAATAATAGAATAAAATTATTTGCTATTATCCCTAAAGGACTGGATTAAAACTTAAACAGAATATTACTTGTGAATAACTGGCTGTGGGTATGCATCATTATTTTTCTTTGTTTCTACTTGATTAGCCCAATTCTATTGATGAGTTCAAATAACCATTTTCCTGAGTAAAACTTGCTTATTTTTTTTAATGTCACCTATTAAAGAGAATCAGTTGCCTATTACAAATAAATAATGTCATGCCACTGTAGGTAATCTGATCAGCAAAAGTGATGAAAAATGGATTTTACATATATCCAAAATGTTTTCAAGAACAGTATCTTATATAAAGTAGTAATAAACTCCCTGTATATGCTGTTCTGGGTGTATGTGTGGGTTTTTTTGTTTGAGTTTTGGGTTTTTTTAAATACTGTCCATGGTTCTTAATTTTTTTTTCTTGAGTGGTGTTTGTGCTATTAAAATAGCTAATTTGAAATTCCAGATCCCATACTGTCTCTGAACAGCATAGTCAAATTTTGTTAATATTAGCTGTAAATAAAAGCCTCTTTTGGTCTGTTGTTCATAGAGCAGTAGCTTTTCTTTCCACCTCATTGTGACTTTGAATTTTTTTTTTTTTTCCCCCCCCAGATATAAAGCCAGCTAATGTGTTCATTACAGCTACAGGGGTAGTGAAACTTGGAGACCTGGGACTTGGTCGATTTTTCAGCTCTAAAACCACAGCTGCACATTCTTTAGGTAAGCTTTCTCTGAGATACAGGTGTTGGGGACGGTCTTTTATTTTTTTTTTTTTTTTTTTTAACATGGTTGAAATACTGTGCCCACTCATGAGGAGGAAGAAAAGGGTTAGGTCCAGCTACAGCTTTTCTTAATAATGAAAAAAAAGTGGTCAGCACCATGGACAAATGCACAAAAGCTGCAACACTGTGGTGCCACTTTCAGCACCACAGCTCATTGGTGGCTGTTTTTTTCTTCTGTTCCCCCAGCCTTGTTTGAATTATTTACTGTACATTCCTGGCTCAAAACAAGCCAGGTATTCACAATGGTAATGTTTTCTAGAAATGCTAGAAAAAAAATAAGAACAATAATATAGATGCATTAAAAAAAAAAAACCCACACCAACCACTTGAACTTCAGTCATCATTGGAAAGAATCTAGTAACTCTGTATGCTGGTATGAGTAGCACTGACATCATTGTGGTGATGTGTGTTGGGGGGCTAACAGAGGAGCTCACCTGTTTTAAGGTGGAGTTTCAATATAAGCTAAATGAGGAGAGTTTAGAATCAGGGTTTAGGAACCATAAAGACTTTAAAACCAAACCAAATTCCCCCAGAAAATCCCAAAACAAACACTAGGAAACTTATTTTTAGAAGAACAGAAAAAAAATTCTGAAATGCCCAGTTTATTTTTTGCTAGCATATGAAAAATAACATTGTATTATATTTCTCCAAGCAAAATTTTTGTATCATTTGCATTTTTTGAGTAGCATGTGGAGATTAGGATGGTTAAGAAGCCTTTAAAGAAGAAAACATAAAATGTTGGCAGATATTGTAAGTTTAAATGTAGATAATGGACAAATGAGAGGATCTAAGAGTATCCTCTAAAAGAGAGTGAAGAGAGTAGCATCTGCTTTAAAGAGAAATGTAAGAATTAGTGTTTATAGTATGCTCATATAGGAGGTGTTTTAGCTAAAAAAATTCTTTCCCCCCTGAAGTGGCTACGTGTAGTGGCTGCTGAATTCAAGCCTGTTCACTGACTGAAAAAGGTGTGAAATGAACTTTTCGACCCCTTGAGAGCAGGGCCGTTCATGATCCAGAATTGTCTCCTGTCCCTTATAAAAAGTATCGAGGCAGGCAGAGCACCTTACTGATACTTGAATATAGACAAGTAAAATCAATTCACGTGCTGCTCAGTGGGAATTCTTAACACATGACAGTGAAAATTGTGTAATTAGGCATTTGGATATGTTTGAGAATGCATGATAAGGAAAATAATAAAGACAGCCTAGAATGGTAAAGTAATACTTGCAATCCCTATCTTAGAGCGATGGGAGGATGCACAAAGAATTGTTTGCTCAGATGCTGATGTTTCTAATTAGACTATGAAATATCAAACTTCTTGGATTCGAACATGCCATGTTTATCATCACCTCTTAATTTAACTTTATTCAGATAGTCCCAGGTATCAGTACAGTGTGGAAAAAGAGAAGGGATTGATGATCAGCGTGCTTGTACCACATTTGAGGTGTGGGCGATACTTGTGCTTGACAGCCAAAAAAAAAGACTATTTTAGAAAGGAAATTTTTGCTACGATCCTTACTGCCCTGTCTTTTAAAAAAGCCTTTTGTCACTCTTTTGTGCCGTCCTGTTTTATCGTGTTTAGTGCACGCTGACACTGGTACAGTCAAAACTGTGCGTAGCTGCTGAGATCCTAATAGGACTGAGGTGAACCTCAGACATAGATGTGAAGTCTTGTGATAATAAAAGAGAGGGATAGAGGAGAAGCCGTGAAACCAGGGTGGAAATGTGCTGGAGTTCCATGTCAAAGTTCAGCTGTAGCCCTAAAGATCTGATCCCATTTCGTGGCACAGTGCGTTATATGAAGTGCTGCTGTTTGTGCTGCCACTGTAGCCCAGTGACCATCTCTGGCAGCACTGTGGAGATCATCTTCGTTGTAGTTGGGTCCTACTACTGCCTGCGAATGTAAGAAGGATGTAAATGAGCAGTGTGAAGATGGAGCGGATCCTGGACTGTATTTGCAGGAAGCTGTAAATCCTAATCTGTGGGTAGGAGCACATGAAGGCAGCAAAAGTCAGTTGTGAGTGTAGGAGAGTTAGACTTGTATTCTGAGGCAGAAATCAGGAAGTTGAAGAGGAGCAAAGTGCTTCAGCCCTGGGTTATTTTGACTCGTTGCAGCGGATGGTTGTGAAGGGGTTGAAGACTGACCTACAGTTAAAAATGGTAAAGCCCCCAAGCCCTCTTAAAGCTCATGTCTTAGAAATACAAAAGTTATCCAGAGAGCAGGGGTTAGGGGGATGGAAGCTTTGTTTGTAATGTTGGGTACTGTGTCTTGGTAGAGGCGCTGTTATTCTTTAATTTTCTTTTTTCCCCATCTCCTTTCCTCCCAATTCCTTCTTGATTATGACCTAATGTCAGAATTCAGCCCAGGAAAAAGGTTTTGTTGAGCTGTTAAATTCAGGCTACAGTGGAGACAGTGACACGCTGATTTACCATGTCACTAGCAGACACCACTTTTAAAAATTAATTTCTCCTGCAGTTTCTGATGCTGGTTTTCCTGAAATTTCTTTCAAGGTTGTATCTTTTTATGATTCCATAAACCTTTGGTGCACAAAACCCAGTGAATTACAAACATATGTGTAGCAATTTATACTTGTTTATAGGCTTTATAAAAATTTAAGTAGCAAACTAGATTCAGGCTTTCAGAGATAAAGGAATGTACTAAAATTTTCATTAGCTACAGCTTCTAACTGCTAATTATGAATAATACTGATTTAATTAGAATACTTGCTGATGGTCCATTTGAAACAAATGAAAATGCTGCTGTGGACAGCGTTTGTTAATGTTCTTAACTCTTCCAATGCAGCCTTATCAGAACAGCATGTATATACTGTTTTGAAAATAGAAAACTCTTTCTTCCAAAAATGCAGAGGAAATGAAGGCATTTGGTGTTATTGATTTGATACAAACTTGACAAAATTTCTTGGGTTTAGAAGACTTTCTAAAATAATATAAATGCACTCTCCTCAACTCAGCTGCAGTGTGAGTTATGTGTTTATGCAGGGAATAAGATGGACTGTTTATAGTATAACTCCCTCTTCTTAATAGTATCCTTGTCTCTGATCCTTCAGATCCAGTGTCCTGCCCCCTAATAACCACCATTTCCATTATGTCCATTACCTCTCCCAATATCAGAAAGCTTGCGCAGAGAAATGACTCTTTCTGGATCTGCAGCATCTTTGAAAGGAGGGAACCCCAGAGCAGCAGCAGCTTCTGAGGAAGCAGTTTATCTGACCCAGGCCGTTTTTCAAGGGGATTACTGTTCAGACCTGCAGGTTATCAGAGATGTGCAAATGCAGTGAATAGAATGCTGAAGTTACATATTTTGTTCTTAAAAACATAGGCACCTTAATGTGTTCATCTTTGTCTTGTATTGCCCCACTTCTGTGTCTTCAGATGAATAAAGTAAATTGCACGTCTTAACAGTATTGTGTGGAATAATTACTGGAGGTGATGTCTTTCACTTAATAGAAAAAATAGTGATCCAGAAAGGAAACATAACATAAGATTATATCTGGTAGTAGCTTCCCAGCAGTACAGAGCTACTTACTGAGATGGCTCACCGTTCTAAAGAATAATTGCAATGCCTTCAGTAGTTCTTGAATATCAGAATAATTCATCTTCTGTGTCATGTTCTGTTAAAAACAGTTTACAAGTAGTAACGATGTCTAGATCTTCAGGTTGTTTTTAGATTCTGTGAATAACATTAACAGTAATTTCAGTTCCTTTCACTTGTTGGTCATCGGGGGCTTCAGGTTGTACTGCAGTTAAGGTGTTACACTAGGCTAAACTCCTAAATGATACATTTGTTCTTCCTTTTCACTATCTTCAATCTTTCACAGTAGTCATACCAGACCCCTAATGTATCAGCAGGCTTCCCAGGGCTACTGGTTAAAATCACCTTTGCTTTTGATAAACTGTGAACCTTCAAACCTCTGTGTTTCCAGCTGTCCCCTGTGCATTCTCTGGAGCCTCTTTCTTGCACATTACTCACTGCCAGCTACTCGCATCATGTCTCAGAGCAGCAAAGGCAGCGCTGCTGTAACCAGCGAAGAACCAGGTTACTAGTAAGCTTATTGTTTGTTGCTAGATCAATTCTGCCAACAAAGCATCAGAATATACTAAACTAGTGTATGTATTCATGGATACAAGTTACAGCTGGAAGCTGTGTGGGGTTGTTTTTAGCCCCAAGGACATGCAAGCTTGGGTGTCTCAGAAGAAACTGCAGCAGCTCAAGGGGGAAGTACAACAGTAACAAAATACGAAAGCTGTGTCATGCTGAATGTTGTTTAACTGCAGTTCCCAGTTTTAAGATAGCTGTCATTAAACAGCCATTAAAGTACTGCTGTTGATAATGTAGAATAACAGAGTTGCTTCTGGATATTCTGGTAGCTATTTTGGTGTGGTGTTGCAGTCTGCCTGCTTGCGTGCCTATTCTTTCACAAGGAAAAGACCATCGCTCTTGGGCGAGTATTCAAGGACCTTCTCCTCCAAGCTCAGGAGCGATACATCCCAATGAAGAGGAAGTTGGTTAACAACGCAGGAGGCCTGTGTGGGTGAACAAGGAGCTCCTGGACAAACTGAGGCATAAAAAGGAAGCCTACAGAGGATGGAAGCCGGGTCAGGGAGCCTGGGAGGATTAGATGGGAGTTGTCCGACAGGTCAGGGATCAGCTTAGGAAAGCCAAAGCCCTGACAGAATTGAACCTGGGCAGGGCCATCAAGGGCAACAAGAAGGGCTTCTATAGGTACATAGGGGATAAAAAGAAGATCAGGGAAAATGTGAGCCCTCTGCAGAAGGAATCAGGAGAGCTGATTTCTCAGGATATCAAGAAGGCTGAGGTGCTCAATGATATTTTTTTTTTTTTCCTTTCCCCCCCCTC